TGGAGGAGACATCTACATCCTTTAAGTAAAAGTAGCAATAACACAATGGGAGAACGCTGTACAATAAGTGTGGGTCAAACTGTTTGATAGTTCAATCTATAAATCATCATATTTTATGGACTCATCATAGGTTTTGAATAAAGAATATCTGCAAAAATAACTAGAAAGTACACTGTAGATGTCAAAGGTAGTGTGAAATACAACACTGCCCGTTTTAAAGGTAATGAAATAAAAGGTTTCCCCAGGAAATTGGTTTGTGGAGGTGTGTGTAATAGAACACCCTTTTTCCCTGAAAGTTAATGCTAATAAAAGCGTAACAATTCATCATAAAGTTGGCAAAGGCTGCCGTTATTTCAGGTGACATGGACTAACACACGGGGAACTACAGACGTGAACACATTGAAATAAGAGTTGTAACGGCTCAAGCATCATATTAACCTTGCAGCTTTTAAAGAAACCTGCTTGGCCCCCGACAGTAAAGGACTGCTGTCGAGAACTAATGGAAGGGGACAAGCTGACCCGAGTGACCCCTCGGCCGCTTGACTCTTGAACCTCCCTCCATCACTTACGGCAGCCTGAGTGACAGGCATGAATCACGACCTTTGCTAGAGATTTTTGTTGTTGTTGTTTTTTTCATTCCAAAACCGCAGTGTGAATCAATACCAATACCAACGTGTGATCATCCACAGTGAGTGGGCATCGTTCAGTCGCCTGGTGTGTAATGTGTCTTGTCAAAACAGGAACACACACCTTCCTCCATGAAAAATGAATGGCCACGAATGATTTCACAAGCAACGAGAGAACGCTGGGAGATAGTTCAGCATGACTTTCCAATGGTGCAGATTCGCCAAAATGTCGAACAACTTTAAGGGACAAAACAGACCTCGGGTGTAGCCCGCAGCTAACTCGTTGACAGCGAGGCAAAAGAACACTTCCTGTTTTAGTCCCACAAAGCGAGAAGGGAATGGTAGTCCAAAAAGACAAAGCAGATTAGAAAGAGAGGAGAGAAACAACAGAGACAAAATAAAATAGATTATGCCATAATCACATAATGCCATAGCACTGTATCTAATGGGTTCCCAAATAATACATGCATCATAATTCATGGCAAGCCTCACTAAGACATATAGAGCTGAGCCATAAACCTGCAAACAGCTTACAAACTGAGCACGGGCAGCAATGGTTTAATGCACTGTTGCATGCAACATGTCCACAGAACAAATGAGCACTGGGCCAGGCTCAGGGCATGTGACTGAGGTTAAAGCCAACTTCAGTAAATAGCAATCAGGCTGGCGGGGCCAACGGTGGCTGAGGCACGTTCCAGATGTTAGCAGCACTGGGCGTGGATGCTAAGCAACTAGCTATTTTTAGCCGAGCAGAGGGCAGGAAGGAAATGAAAGGAGCAGAGTTCGGCGTGCGCGGGATTCAGAGCAGCGGAGCGAAGGGGTAATCAAACACTGCCCACCAATGGCAATCACGCCGCTCCGACACAATGGTGGCTGGCCCTGCCGCCGGCTTAGTCTTATCACAACACGCTCGCGGAGTGGGTGTGAGATGAATGAGCAGGGGAGGGCATGAGAGTGAGGCAAGGGGGGGGAAGAGATGGATGGGGGAAGTGAGAGGGGAAGAAAAGCGGCAGAAAAGGGAGCAGTTGGTGCAAATCGAATCAGGGGATTGGTGCGTTTCCCTCAGATTACAGCTCTCCATCTGTCTCAAGGTGTGTTTTGTGTACTCGATATTAAGTAAACCGTTTATGAGCTGTGGTGCAGGCCAAATTTCGGCGATATCTTGCCATGAAAATACCCGATTTCAAAAACAGCACTTCAATTTGTCTGTTAAAAAGGAGGATCATTTGGCTACAAAGAGGAAAGAATCACAAATACATATACAAATCAATCACTGAGTTTGCTATAAAACCCGGCCTGCTGTCAGCTGAACCTGCTGCCAAGTGACGGCTGTTTCATACAAACAATGAGCTCGAATTGAGGGACTAAGTTCCATTCAGATGCGGCGCACAAATAAAAATCCGTTCACCGTGACGCTGTTGAGGTGCGATAGAAAATTGATGCAAGCACCGCCGTCTGCATTTCAAACAAATGATGTGATTAAATGAAGATGGCGAATCCTTCCTTCCTTCCTTCCTTCCTTCCTTCGCCACTCTCCGCTCAAAAGACGGAAAATTACCAAACTGTTGATAGATGGTTAACAGGTGCGGGCTAATTATGCTAATCACGGCAACAGCCAAATAAACTGATTGCCATGTTCATTTAAATGACAGCAATGTTCCTTCGGTGGCTAATTAAAACAGGTCGGGAGAGAGCGGGAAGCGAGTTGGCTGGGGTTTTTTTTCGGGATGGAGGGAGGCGTTTAAATAAAAGCCTTCTCTGGGGTCTACTGTAATAAGCTGTATTTCATTGGTTTAATGATGTCATAATGAATTTCTAATGATGGGGGATGGGTTAGGGTGTGAGGAGGAGAAGTGTGGCGCTATGCAGCTACTTTCTCCCCCCCCCCCCAATGCGCTAAGAGGAGCCAACAAGGGAGCCCTCGCTCATGATGCGTGTGGCGCAGGGTGACCCCGGTTGAAACGACTTGGGTAATGAAAATAAAAATCAGTCGAGGACATCTAGCAGGATATGTGCTCCATCTGTTTCAATACTAGCCCCAATGGAAAGGGTATAGGGGAAGGTTTGGAAAGGGGCAATTACTTCTTTTTTTTCAGCATTAGGGCCAAGTTGGCCCCGGTCTCTGGTTTGCATGTGACCCGGGGAAAAAAGGCATCATTAGAAGCAGGGATGGCGGTCAGAGGCCAGGGGGGAGATGAACTCCGGGGGCCCCCTGACAGCCACTGGAGGTATGAAAGGTGCATAGGGGCTGATTAATGTTTATAGAGGCAGCTGCTATCGAAAGCCTCCATCGCACCTCCTCTCCCCAAAGTCCTCCGGTTTAATTCCACTCTTCTGGAGGAGATTGAAGATCTACAGTTTGGGCTCTGTCTTTGAAAACAGACCCATTTGTTTTCAAAAAGGAGCTCCGCCACCGGGGACAACACCGAGTGTTCCACCTCTCCTTTCACTTGAGAAGCCTCTCCCCTCCTTCGCTCTCTCACCAGCAACATTTGAAGAAATCAAAGCATCAAAACACTCACCAAGCACCAAACTTGATTCACAAAATGTAAATCATTTTGCCACGTGTTTCCCCGCCCTTTGTGTACGGTGAAAACAAAGCAGTGATAAAAAGAATGATATGGAAAGAAGAGATGAATGATACCGCACGATGATGGATACGATGGAAGTTAGAATTCCTTTTGTTTGCATTCCGATGTGCACACAAAGAAAGTCAAGGCAACAAAAGAGGAAAGAGCAAATCCAGTGCCGGAAAGAGACCAGAGAGACTCGAACATCAGGCATGAACCAGCCGGCTTTTATCTTCCGTTTATGAGGCATTCTCACTATTTAAATGTATGCCGCATTAGTAGGGATCTGCTCGATTCAATATATTATAATGTGATGTTTGGCCTTAATGGAAAATCAATGGCGAGACAAGCCTGCCACCATGCAAAAGCAATTTCCAAATTGACATACGGAGGGCCGACGTGATTGATTCTGACTGCTGTTGGATTTTAATACCGTTCACTGCGAGCTCATTGACTCCCAGACATCGTCTTGTGGTTTATCTACAACCTGCCAAATGAGTCCTTGTCTCCTTTTTCTCCTCTCATCTTTTCTACCTGCGTCTTTCTTTCGGTCCCCTCATCTCAGCCCAAAGCGGGGGGGTGGGGGGGGGTGGATAACGGCGAATTAGATGAATGAGCGGATGACTCTCCGCAAACACGTCCTCGTTGCAATTAATCGTGCAGTTCTGATACAGTTAATTTAGATCCCACCTCCACCATATTCTACGTGTTCCTTCCATCAGCCGAAACATTCCCACCTCACCACTGCACCCCCAATCACCATTTTGTTTCCTCCCTTCACGTTCGTTCACATGAATGGAAAACATCTCATGACCCAGTGGCCTCTTCGATGACGTTTTGCAGCAGCTTTGTATCGACGTTAAATGTTATTTATTTTACCAACTCAAGTTACTTATCCGACATCCAAACTTCCTCCTTCAATCCACTGACGCTGGGCAGATGTGCTTCTCTCTAGCAGCCACCTGGAGCTACTGGGTCCTGAAACATCCCCGGGCCAGTTGGAATGTGTAATCCCTCCTGAGTTTTCTGAGTCTATGTCAGTCACAGCTAACTGGTATTAAACTGGTAGGTCATCCATGATCACATGCTGAGCCACCTTTCAATGCAAAAGAGCAGCAGCTCTTCTCCGATCTCCTTCCAGGATGTCTGTGCTCCAGGACCTTAACCTCCCTCAGAATGAAGGAGGGGGGGGAGGAAATAGACCTTGTGCATTGGCCTTATGACTACCCATTTAATAAACCCAAACATCCACTTGAATACCTCATAAAAACTCTCCAGAAAGCTCATATCATGTGCGAGTGAGTCAGCGGGCTCTGCTGCTGAGCCGACGCCGCTGGAAAGCAGAGTTGGGTCTGACTCCAGTCGCTTAGTGACATGAGATGAGATTGCCGACCCTGAAGTGTTACACCGTCTCGCCGCTCTGTACTGAAGTTAATGCGACTGACAGATTTGACTTTGAACCGTCTTCAAAGCCGGGTAAATCACAGGGGGCATGACGTGCAATGCAGCAGATGAACTCACACATGCAAGTACTCTTCCACCGCACACACACACGCCACATGTATGTCAGCCCATCTCACGGTAAAGATACCATGCGCCGCGTCTTGGCTCTTTGGTCTGACAACAGAAGGACATCAGTTCCGCTGTGGTCAGGGACACAAGCAGCGTTGTGTCTCTAAGTAGTAAGAATGTGGCCCTTGGGCAGCATAATTATCGAGCGGATCACAGTGTCACAGCGCAGGGCGTTTCGGAGGCTGGAAAACTAAAAGGGGGGGGGGAGCATCCGTCAAACGTCTTAACTCACCTTGCCGAAGTCCCTGACGTCGAAGAGGTCGAAGGGGTCGAACAGCTCGCTGTTGCGCAGGCCGAACTTGTCGTGGCACACCTTGAGGAACGTCCGGATGTTCTTCAAACACAGGAACTACAAAAGACGGACGACACACAAAAACAAAAATGTCAACACAACGCTCAAACTCAATCTTGCATACAGGATTTGCGGTGACAGTGAACAGCTATGATTAAACAGAGTGTTTGCCTTCAGAAAACATGCTCCACCAGTCTGCTTAATATCCCCCGTCAATGCTTCAGCATTCGTGTAAATATTTCATTTCCTGGTTGATGATTGGCAGGCACTTCGTCCTCTCCTGGCGTATGTATGTGTGTGTGTGGGTGTGATTATTCAGCCCCTGAAGGTGAGCAGGCTGATTGCGGCTCCCCAAGGCTGATGGGATGCCTCTCTCTGGTCCAGATAAGGAGAGCCACAAGAGGAGCCTGTCTCCTGACATCGGAGCACAGACGAGGTGTCTTCAGACGAGCCCAGCGGCAGAGACCTGCCCCGGTTGAGTCCCTGACCCCAAAACTGAAAGGTCGCAGGTCTCAAATCTGACATCACAGCAGCCACGTGTCCCGTGGAAATGTCTTTGGGAAAGCACACTGTTCTAGCACAGCGAGGGCCTTTCAGTGAGTGAAAATTGGTTGTAATATTCAGGAGAGGGAACAAGTTGTACTAGGAGGTACGGAGAAAATCACACATCTGTGATGACAGAACACCTCAACGTCGATATTGCGGCGATATTGTAGGGTTGGCTTGTACAAAACATTTACACAGTGAGCTTTTTGAGAAAAAAATCATCAGTAATGCAAAACAATAAAGCAGCTAGAACAGTCTGAATAGCTCAGAACATGACGACACGTTACCTAAATGCAGCCTTTAAAACCAGGAAAAGAAAACACTTGGGTGATATTAAGTTATCAGAAGGTTATTTACGTCACTTCAGAGTATTCAGAGATAGAGATAAGAGGATATCGAACGGGCATTGGATCGGTGGGGTTTACAACTCATGGAATCATCCCAAAAAAAAGTCGAATCTAAACTTTGTGTTCTGTGTGCGAAATCCCTCTTATGTGCAATCTACAAAGGTTAAAACCAATATGTCTAATCTGCAAGTGTAGGGGAGAGAAGCTAACAACTAGAGCCTGACAGATACAATGGCCGAGCCATTATATTGGCCGAATTGCAGATCGACGTCTGCTTTATCAACAATGGCTACTATCCAGTCCTGCAAATACAGCACAAGCCACCTTGAGACCGATAACCAATACGGAGGGGTAGAATGGTGGCGAGAATACTCATAACAAACGGCATAATAAATAGTCTCTGGTCACGAATGTCGGCAGTCCGGGTCCCTCAAATATTCCATCACACAGATGAACCTCGAGGGCTCAGGGAACGGACCGATAACTCCACGGGAGGACTGTTGAAATATTAATGAAGGGCATAAACCGGCCTCCCATCTCCCTGTGTGAGAGGAACACATCACCGAACATGTTAATTCAGCCGCTGCTCCTGACACGCCCTCCCATTTATCTGTGCGGGAGCGATACGAACCGACAGCACACAGAAGCTGAATGCACTCAAGGAAGAGATTTGAGCCTATACGTGGAACAAAACGAAATGCTCGATTGCATATTCGAATGTACGCGTCGACAACATGTGCATCATCCCTGTAACGGCTGTTGTGTAACACTGGCATGGCAACCTGCAGCCTTGGCTAATGTAAGCGCGCCTTTGGCAACAACAGCAGCAAGAGTGTTTTTTTTCTTTCCAGGTACACCAACATGCAGCAGAGCATCCCCACTCCCCACAGGCCTCCAAGTGCACAATAGTCTCATTTAAACCCACACTGCGGCTTGATGAGCCACACTGTTTCCTGTTGCTACAATTGACCGCGTGAGACATCATCCGCATCAGCCTGCTGTACTAATTAGCTTTAAAGGGGGAAAAAAAATCAACTCATTGTTACTACTCGAGTAAATGTTCGGATTAGAAATAATAAAGAAGAAGAAGCAGAGCTCCATCTGATATGGTGTCCTGGTATTCAGTGGCATTTCAGTCGTCCTCTCCCCCGGCCACACCTGAGAGCCCTCCGCCGACTCATTTTCATGTGCGCATCTGCTCGGCCCATAGAGTCGTGGGTGTGAACCCCCATAAGAGAGCCGCGCCCGGGCACAGCGACAAAGGAACGC